CTCCTTGAGAGGCTTATGCAAGACTCCAAGTCCTTTGCTCATGTCACAGAGTTTTCAGGAGGTTAAAGATTAAGTTTTGCATAGCACTACTACGAGCAAATATTTATCATTCTGAGCTGAACTAACGTGTAATTGTGCCTAACCCAGTTCAATAAGGATTTTAATCTGCTGCCTACTTAAAGCAAGCCATAGGCTTAAGCAGCTTGCTGAATAAAAGCTAAAGGGAAGAGACATTGAAAGAAAAGGATAGGCGGTCATAAATGATTGCATAAAGTTTTCAAACAAACTTTAGAATTGTTTTTCCTTTAATTCTGATGCCTTACTTTTCCTTAATTGGTATTGCTTTCCCAGTAGAATCTCAGTGCAGCTCTCATCTTTACAACAGAAAAAAAAAAGAAAACTGAAACAAAATTATAGTTTCTCATTTAATTGAGCACCAGTTTGTAATAAGTGGAGTCAGGTCCAAACACAGAATTTCTCAGACAGACTCTGAGTTCTTTATTTGCATCTTCCAAAAGCCTTGAGCTGTTCTGCAAGTGTTTTATCTCATATTAATTAAATGAGAATAAATCATTTCAATATAATTTCAAATGATACATGGAGCACACGGGGGTCTTGTAAACATAGCAAAACATTACAACATCTGTTATTATTAATACTCTTTACTTTCTGCCAAGTTTATCCATGGTCCTGTCGAGTGAGGAAATCCCTCCTCGCTGGTACATGAATCAGATGATCAGAGCTGGGCTCACCAAGGAAGAGGAGACACAAGGATTCTGATGCGTTTCAGGACAGTGTAAAGGGTTTGTTCATACTCTTCTGACTCAAGAGTGAAGAAGCTATCGCCCGCGAATACAACTGGAAGGACTGAGTGTCGTATGAATATCCTTACCAACGTGTTGTGATTTCCTGGGCAACCTTAATGTTGGTGGATTTAATGGGGTGCAATGAAGGTTCGTTATTCATTTTCAATGGCTTGTAAAGAGAGGTACTGTGTCCTGCAACACCCAGGTTTTGTTTGTCCAACATGCTGTGATTACATATATTTAGCGCAGAGATGGCAGTGTTCAAGTACCCTCTCAGTGGGGATGTTTCAGGCAAGAAAAGTATTTTTTCTGGGTTGAATACCAAAAAGTGGTAAAGAGCAAGTAGGGAATAATAGTAATAGTGCAAAATATCATGGGCAAGGTGAGATTGGCAAGCTATTTGCATGTCAGTATACAGAAAGATGGGCTGTAGCATGTCATGCTAACATCTGGAGGAATGAACTGCAAGGTTTGAGCCTCATTTTTCTGAAGGCTCAAAAAATGTTTTCTGTGACATTGATAAAAATTAGGAGAAAAAAAAATCTTTTCACTGAAATCTCCAGGAAAAAATACATTCAAGAGAAAAAAAATGATTTCCCACAATCTAAATCAGTTCAGACTTATCCCAGAGGGAGCTGCTCATCCTTTCTGCCTATTTCCACCCCATTTGTTTTGTGCCATCTCTTTCTAATACAACTGGGGAAACTGATCAAACACATTCTATACATACCACCCAACCCACAGTCTCAGCATCCCAGCTGTATTCCTAACCTCACAAATTCACAGTGAAACCATCTCCAGGGTTTCAAAAGCATAGCAGCTTTCATGAAGGGGGGCAGTGGGAGCTCTCTTAATTAGTCCAGCTTCTTTGTGCATTTCTAGACATGTCTCCCTCTTTGTTCACCTTCAAGAGTTTAATGCCAGGGTAGAAAGAGAAGATTTCTCCTCTGGAAAGTAGGAAAGTTTTGGCACTCGGAAAAACAGCTGTGGCCAAGCATCTAAATGGAAAGAGGTGAATTTTAACCAGTCTGTGCATTTATTGAGCACTAACAGTGGAAAATTTGGAAGTCCAGCCAGTTAGGCGAGCATTTCATTACCAGAAGTCCTTCACATGTTGTCCCTGCAACTCTGGCAAGGGAAATTCAAACATGAAACCATCATTAATGTAATTCAACCCTTTCTGGAAGTACAACAAAATGAAATTCAGTCTTGGTAGCTTAATTCTTTTGATTTTTCCTCTTGAGACATAACTTACTGACCTGACAGTCATTTCCTAGGAGAGGCTGAATGCAGGGAAGGCAGCAGGACTGTGAATTTTATCACCAGTGCTTTAAAGCATAGGTCTATACAGAGAAAAGAGTTGAGGATAAAGTCATGGAAAGGTGGGTTCCAACTTTACTGTGTTCCTGATTTCATTATCAAAGGTTTGCAACAAGGAAATCATATGGTCCCCCAGCACATTCAGCCTGGGCCAAGAGGTCCTGAGACAGCAAATCACTCAAGGATGTGCCTAATCTACACACAGCCAGTTTTTCTAAGGAGATCCCATGCAGATCAAGTTAGAGAATAATTAAAAATGTCATTACAATTTTTCTTTGGCTACTGATAATAAGGTTTGAAAACTGAGATTTGCCATTAAAATTTGCATGGTTTCCAAACTCTGAAGTAGTATGTAGCTGGATAAAAGGCAGCAGTCAATTTAAGTTTGTAGCTTCTAAGAATTGTTTTGTCTTATAGGCTGCAATATTTCTGTTACTGGAGAACTGAAATAAAAAGGTTAACTTCTGGGCGTTCTCTAGTTTTTAATATTATGCATTATCATGATGGCTTAAAAGAAAGATGAAAACATGAAAGAAATGGAGAATTTTAAAGTACCCCAAAAGCGGATCTCCTCCTGAAGGCAAGGCAGCTACAAACACCAATCAATCTCTAGATGTTTCCTCATTGCTATGAAGAGTCTGTCTTTCCTACTAAGGAAGATATATTTAAAGAACTTCATACTAAGCCACTGCAATATCAAGGAACATAAACTAATTCTGGTCTCTACCTCAGCTCTACCTCCCTTTGAAACTCCTCTGGACTGGTACTGGCAGAGTATTCTGTTCCATCTCACCAATGTCCTCACCTCACCAGTTTCCCCTTTGAAACCCTTGCAGATCTGTCCTGATGATTTAAAACACACCTTTCCTGCAAGAAAGGAGGCAATGATCTAATTAAAGGCTACTCACCTTTTCAATACATGCATATGTGTACATCGTACATCTTACTGCATGTGTATCCTCTGCTTGTCAGTGTATTCCGTCTCCTTTCTCAGCAACAGCAAAGTTTAAGGGGGTGGGAATTACCTAGAAATACATCAGCATTGCTTTACAAACTTGTAGTAATAAACTACATCAATGTCTGAAACAACTGTACAACTCTCACTGTGAGGCATTTCATATTTTATTTTTCCCATGTAAAATAAGGTCTACTTTTTATAGAAAAAGTTTGAACAAGACTTCCACATTTGTTACATTTGGCATACCATACACAATCCTACTGGTTTATAAGGTACCATTCCAAAAGTGACATTTTGGCTGTTCGGCGTTTTAATGCCAGTGAACTGATATCATGACTACAAATACATATAGTTAATGCACAAAGTGAAGCAGGTATAATACATTCACAGTCATGGAGCCCAAGGGGCAAGGGGTGTCCTCATCCTCAAGCTATTAATTTTTGCAAATCAGCATCTTAACCCAAATTTAATTTAATTGTATTTAATATTTAGCTGTTAGGCTGTGTGCTACAGGGAAGGGGCTGAGAAAAGATCCACAGGAATATATCTACAGTCAGGTTCAGACAACTAATCACATCTGTTTCCCCTGGATTCTGCTGTTCATGGCAACTTAACATAGTCTCAAGTCTCATCTCTCAACCATTCTGTTGAACAAAGGTCAGAGATTTTGAATTCGCCATGGAAAAAAGAGGCTCAATAGACTGTTTTGGCCAGCTATTCATCCTCGTTTCTTTTCAATGTAATATCTAACATGTTGATGCTATTTAACAAAAATTGAATTCATTAACGCATTAGTCAATACGCAAATATTGTTTGATGATTAAATTCTTGTTCTTTTTCCCAAGCATAAAGTGATCAAACTAAATCTCAGATGTTTTTTCTTGTTGCTTTACTTTCTCAGCTGGTTTTCTTAACTATCATTTTCTGCAGATAATTGGGTAAAAGGAGATGCTTCTGTAATTATTGTCTTGTTGGATGGTCTCTTTTGTGTATTCTTATTAGAGCATTTCTGCTGTTTGAAGGGACTGTGGCCATCGCCCCTATTGAAGAGTTATACTCCAAGAAAACAATGGAAAACACAGTTCTAAAACTGTCATGCATAGACTTCTCTTTATTTGTCTGAATAGGGTTTGGGTTGCAGGATCCTGGAGGATAATTTTATGACTTTTCGGACATAGCCTCACTGCCCTGCCTAGGCACAGCAGACTGTGGGGCACAGCTCAGTTACATCTGTGCTAGCAGACAATGGCTCTGCTCCTGCTTCTGATGTAGTCACTGAGAGTTTTGCCATGAACTCATATTACTGTAATTCAGATGTGCTACTGAAATAAATGTGATGTATATTTTCCATGATATGATTACTGGATTCAGTTCTGGTCAATTAAAGCAGCCTGCCCAGGGCTATCAACAGGGTAATGATTAATGTCAATAAACAACCCTTCCTGGCATCTGCTGGCTGCCTGTAAAAAAAAAAAAAAAAAAAAAAAGGGGAGGCCCCAAAATTCCAGTACAGTTAACTAATGAAGTTCAAGAGGTCATTGGAGCCATGCAGGCACCCTTCAGGCAGTGGAAACTGAGCCCATGACTCTTCCAGTAAGTGTACCTGTCTTTCTTAAGTACTTTTCATACACTATACTGTTTTCTTTTTATTCAGTAATTGTTCCAGGTTTTAAAAAATGGACTAGGGGTTTTTTCACTGTTGAAATACACTCCAATGTTAGAAATACAATGTTTGAAAAAAATGTCAATAAACACCCCTTTCCTGGATTCTGCTGGTTGCTTTTAAAAAAAAAAAAAAAATAAAAAGGGGCAGTCGCATCAATTTGCTGCCTTCAGCTACATTTTGGGCTGAGAATACATAACTGCACGGAGCTGAAGCCGTTTATTGTGCCCAACAAGAAACTAGCTAAGGGAATATGTGTTACCGGGAGTATGTCGGAACCACCATGAAAGTGGCCCTGGTTCAAGGTGAAGAGTTTGGCTGTAGCACTGGGCACATCACCTGTGAAAGACCATTCGGCAGCACTCTGCCAGTGCCTCACAAGACAGACAAACTAGACCTGAGCCTCGCAGCACAGAAGAAAAAGGCTCGAAACATAACGGAGAGAAGAGAAAATTTCGGGCATGTGAGCACTTGAACTGGCACAATTATAACAAAATAGCCCAAAGGCCAACCGGGGCTTTGGTGTGCAATGGGCGGCCTGAGTGCCAGCCCCATGGAGGAAAGCACGAGAGCAGCCCTGGGCTGGGACCCTGCCACAGAGGGAGAAATTCAGAACAGAGAAGCTCCTGGCAAATTTCATGTGGGTCTCTGGCTCCCCCCGATCTCTTTCCAGGTAGCTCCCAGTACACACACACTGACTCGCAACATTTCAGCAAGCATGAGACATCTCTTTTTCCATCCTAGCTGGGCCTTCCTAATCAACCAGTGGGTTGCATCTCCGAAACAAGGACACTCCCTCGCACTCCAGCTCCTTTCCCTGCTCCTTCTCCCCTGGTTTTGATGCCACCCTAGAGATTGGGCTAAACAGATCCCCACACCGTGGGGAGCAAACATGGGCATCTCTCATTCTCCATTGTTCTGAAGCAGGAAACAGCTGCAGAAAAGCCTCTTCTCAGGGCATCCAGGCTGATGACATGGGACTGGTAGGATCCCTTCTGGTCAGAATGTAACCCTCACTGGAACAATCAGCAATTTGGACATCCGAAAATTATTTTATTAAACAGCAGTTGTTCATCAGTAGGAGGTCTTTTTCCACAGCCATTCTTTAAAGCCCAAACATTTCCATGTTTCCTGTAATACTTGTGCTTAGTCACACATTGACAAATACAAGGAAAAAAACTCAGATCTGTATGACAGATTTTTGGAACCGCCAAAATAATCTCTTTGAATTTTGTAGTCGCTTGACAGCAGGAGTCCAGGAGGAGAGTGTTGAAAACAAAAACTTGTATTTATTCACTGGAGTTTTTACTGCATTTCTCTCCCAGAAAAGGATACCTATCATGTTCTGCTAAAAATACATTATCAAATAAACAGACCACAGACCCCGTTAAAGTTTAAAAGTTGCCAAGTCCACTTTTTGCTACCCAGCCTATAAGTCTGTCAGAGAGGAAAAGGATGGTACTTTGCAGTTCAGCCAGAATTTATCACACTTCAGGATGGAGGTATTTAACATGCTCAGATATGGAGACCAAAGGCTCTGTCAAAGGACATCTTCTGCAGAGCATCCTGCCATCTTGCAACTCGCATACCCATATGAACAAAAAGTCTCCAGCTGAGTCTGGCTTCCCCTGCTGTAATACATCATGAGAAAAGAGATCCCTATATCAAAATTCTCAAAAATCTAAATACCTGAGAAGTATTAAGCACTATAATTAAGAGTTATTAGTATTACTCTCTAAATACTTAGAGAAGAATGGTTGTGCTGGTTGGGCATGAGGCCATGTGTCACTAATCCGTGAAACTTTCCTCCACCACGCCAGGCTGTCAGGAGGCTGGCAGCAGGTCTTGTTCAGAGTACTGTCCATGCAAAAAGCAGGTCCACTCATTCATCTTTTTATGGTCATCCCAAAAGGCCACGACTTCAACAGAAGTGAAGGCGAATATCCCCTCCCACATCCATCAATTTTGAGGCACGGAAGGAACAAGCACTGCATCTCTAAGTAGATTTTGAAAGAAAGAGATAAGCCTGGCTGTTTTTCAAAGAACTGGTTTAGCACAGAGCTGGGAGTGGACGTAACCAGCTGAAGAGCACCACAGCCTGCTGAGGATAGCAGCCCTGTGGTCTGCTCTGCTGGTGGCACAGGCTTGAGTTTGCAGGGTTTGCTGCTTGACCTTGCATGACCAGCTCCTGCTGGTGGGATCCTCCCTCCTTCTTTCACCAGGCGTGCACCCATGAGTGGGAGCAGCAGGCTGGGCTCTCCCCGGGCTCTCCCCCAGCTCTCTGCCTCAGATTTGCCCTTTCCTTCTCTCCTTTCTCTTTCCAGAGTAAGTCCAGTCTCTCCATCCCTCACCTCAGACCACACTGGCTGTGTTGCTGAGAACCTCGAGCATGGGATGCTTCAGGGTCTACCTCCAGGGGGGAGCTTCAGGCTATGCCCCACAGCAGCCCTGCATCAGCAACAGAGATCCAGAAAGGCCTGGGGCTTGGACATAACCATAGTGTGTCCTACCAGCCTGCTAAGCAACATGTAAACATCACTTACATCAACTACACATGCCACTACACATCCCAGATAGTGAGAGCTGTTCAGAGGTACTGCATGCTCCCCATGACATGCCTGCATGCCCTTGGGAGCCCAACTCAAAGGCATGGGTTTCGCCAGCCAATGCTGAGTCAAAACTTCAGTGTCTCATTGTGACTCTACTCCTTAGCCCATCCCATGCCCATCTGCATACTACGAATAATATTTTTCACCAGATAAAACATTTCTGCAGCTTAGAGGAGTACTGTGAATATAATGCACAGTCGAGTCCATAAGGTGCTTAATTCTTTGTGTCTTTGGCGTCATTTTGCTATGATGGAGTTATAGGTGTTATACGGAAATGAGCACGCCTGCTCATCACCTTCACAGCCTACTGAGGTGGCCTTTGTAAACGAAATGAGAAATAAGACTCTCCAACAAATACGGACTGAGAATTGAGACTTTATAAAATCACAAATATTCCCTTGCAATAAAGACAATATTTATGCTAAAGACTGTGTTTTAAATTAATTTTGGCCAGGTGAACATGGTGCTGGCCATGAGGGGGTAAAGCCATGGGGAGAAGTCTCCTGGAGAGGCAAACAACGGCAGCTGGGTGTGCATGATGGGTGCATCTGGGCGCCACCAGGCCTTTGTGGTGACCTCAGCAGGATGAGTAGTAAACCCAGCATTTTCCATGCAGCAGAGAACAATTTCTTTCACTTTGCAGCTTTCTCCTGAGGCTCCCAAGAGAACAATTATTCTTTTTTCCAGACTGTTTGCAAGTGCCATAGAGCTTCCCCCCAAATCCCTATAACTCCTGCCTTATCAATACAAGAAAGGAAGGAAACATAAACTGTTCAGAGTGACAGGTTCAACTGTTTTCCTTCTTAACTAAAAATGTGGGAATTCTGTGGTGGTCGGAGAGAGAGGTGAAAACACGTCAGCGCAGCAAGGTGACGTGTCTTTGCAAGCCTCCTGCCTCTCGTTCCCTTCCACAGGCACAACTGGCCATGAACATGGATGCAACAGGAGCAGCTGTCGCAGATCTCCCAGTTTGCCCTGTTATGTCTTCTAGCAGTTCCTCTCGGCGCAGACCCCTTTGATCAGCGATACAGGGAAGATTAGATCTGAGCTGATACAATAGCTCGTTGCAGGACAAGGCTCATTTGGCTCCTGCCTGTCAGTGTGACGTGCCATGTCCGTGGGGCTACTGCATCTGCGTAAGAGCGGCCACACTGAGCTCCCACGATGCACAAAACTCACGTACTGAATTTTCCCTCTTTGCCTCCAGCCATCCCTGTTCTGCTTCTTGCTAAGTCAATTAATATCTACCATACTAGTAGTAAAGGGCCCTTGGGAAAAAGGAAACCAGGGAGTAGGCTGGTTGTTCCCGATCTAGGCTCGCCCTGTGCCAATACAGCATATTTTCTAGAGTGTTTTTTTCAATTCAGTTTAAATGACTCAGCTGAGGGGTTTTGTATAACTTCTGACCACAGCCTAACAGTTCTCACAGGAGGTAATATTTCCTAGTGTTTGGCATGAGCTTTCCTCCTTTTCATCTTAGCACTTGTGCTCCTTCAGCAATCCTTACCCACTTCTTTCCTTCCTTCGTGCTTACAGCCTACAACTTTGTAAGTGGTTACTGGATCCCTCAGCTTCCACCGAGCCCTTCACCACGCAGCATAATATATCACATTCGTTACTGTTATGCAAGCACCTAGACAGACAGGCTTTATCTAGCTGTTTTAATCTTTCCCATAAACCAGTCCTTAAAGTCCAACAGCGGTTTGAGTTATTTTATGTGAATTCCCTCCAGTTTGTCAACATCAATCTGCAATGCTCTGATCTTTGAATAACTGGATTGTCAGAGTGCTGAGAAGGTGTGACCATTTTCTTTTTGGTAAGTAACCAACTACTCATTTGTTGCATTTTACTAATTGCATTTAATTCTACCTCTGTTTTTTCCCAGTTCCGTTATACTCTCCGTATTACACTTTTTGTGGTAAGCAGCACCAGACACAATCGGATTCCTTCGTCTGTCAGCAGCAAATGTAATCATCGTAAATATTTAAAACACAGCAAACTCTGATATATGATACAATTAAAACCCTTTCAAAAGCATCCTCTCTCTAAACCCATCCCCTGGTAAACTGAATTTAAGTGGCAGCAAAGCAACCGAATCAAAACATTGCCTTTCATTTCTGCTGATGTGAAATATTTCCCCTCTCTGCTCTATGTTCTTGCTCCTCGCAGAGTGAGTAGATATTTGATTAGGTACAGATTTAAACACAAAAAGATTTTCCAAGCCTCAGTTCCAAGTTCCAAGCAATTACCCATTTGCTGGGTGTAACTCACTGCAGGGTCGCCCAACTGGAGAGCAGAACAGAGGAGGCTCTTTACAAAGAAAAAAAAAAAAAAACCAAACTATTCCAAGTGTTTCACCTCACAAGGAATTCTTGAAAAATGTGTTTCCCCCCAGAGACCTGGAGTTGTTTGTCTCATTCGAGGGCTGAGTATTTTCCTCTCGCTGGCAGACCGGCAAAGAGGTGGAGGGCTCATGCTGCAGAGTCAGTGAAGAGCTGTCCTGAGCTGACACCGGATTTGCATGGGAGCTCCTGAGGGCTCCACTTGTGTCACCTAACAGTGCTGCCTGCCACATACCGGCCCCTTGCACTTGATCTCGGGTATAGCAAGCAGGATGTACTCACCTTGTCTGCTCTCCAGCAGCGCTGGCAGCAAAATTACTTTGCAATCAGGGCCAAAAGTCCCAGTCACATATCTAGGTCTGCCCCTAAAGCAGCCTTTCTAAGAGGCAATACAGTTGTTAAGGCTGGTGGTCTTGTGGGCACCCTGCAATGTTGTCTCTGAGGAGCTCACCTGGAGAGAATAAGAGCTAATATCAATCCCCCCGGTCTCAGATAATCAAGATTAAATGTGATTTTTTTAACGCTAAAACCAAGTCTAGAACAAGAAGCTAACTAACTAGCTCTGACTAGATGACACCAAGTGGTCATAGCAAAATTTACATTTATTATTACTGGAACACTTTGCAAAACTTTCACCCTTTGAACTGGAGTTTTGCAGCTTTGCCATTTGAACAATTTTATTTTTTATGTGGGAGCCACTAAGTCTGGGTATTTTGACTCTAGGAAGAGCACTCAAACTGTTAAAAAATACAAGAAAAATAGTTCAACATAAATTGCTACCATATTCAAAAGCTGACTTATTGTATATTAACAAGATGCAGATTTTTAAGCCCTAATTACTAATTTAATTAATTAATTAATGGTTCATGAAGTGATTAATAAGTAGACTATGCAGTGGTATTAATATAGAAGTCAAGGAAAAAGTTCCTATTACTAAAACATCGGAGGTCTTTGGATAAGGCATTGCATGGACTACGAAAACATACTGAAGTATAAAATAGCAGCATATCGGTTACACCTTTATTTCAGAACAAGTGTTTATCACTCCCTATGCTCTTAGCTTTATAATATCTCTTACAAGAGGTAGTTGATCATACCTTTACTGGACAAGATACTTAATGATGTAGGAAAAGAGATGTCAGCGGTGCATGTTCTCATCCGTTACAATTTTGTGTATGATGTAGAATTACATGCGCCAATATCAAAATGTATTTTTAAAAGTTAGTCATCTGCTGCAATGTGTTCTGTTGGGATGTTTGCTTTCCTCCCTTAGATGACTCCGTGAAATACTTCTCTAGTCATTTTGCCAGCAACCATGAAACCCCAGCAAAACATCAGAAGTCCAGCCAACCCAAGACTGCAAAACTGGCTATGCTGAAAATTAACTCAACAGGTTCCTCCATTCTTTTTGAAGGGCTTAAATTCTCCCCCACTAAAGAGTCTGAACCTGTGCAGACACATGTGAAAAAAGAGAGGGCTGGTGATGTGAAAGCAAACGCTCTCTACACCCGCAGGAAAGGACAAGGTGAGAAGCAGGTGTGTGGGCCAAGGTGTGTGGACACATAGTCTTTGTACCACCACTGTCTGTAGCAGTGAAATTCTGTTCTCTTTCTACACAGAGATATCATCCTGTCCAAATATTTCGCGTTTTGACTCTGGTCCCTGTACAAGGCATGTTCTAAATCGAAAAACTGTGACTTGAAGGAGAAGGTGAGAACAGCGTGAAACACACAATGGAAGACAACCTGTGCTGTCCTCTTTCTTCCTGAGCTTTCAGTGGGCTAAATTGCCTGCTTCTGTCACTGATGCCACAGCAACCGGTTGTACCATGAGGATTTACCCCCTGGTACCTGTGCAGGCCTGCCCCACTGGTGCACGGCCGTTTGACCAACTAAGCTACATTGGCCACGTTATAGATTTGCTATTTTAGAAATACTCTGTGTCCCTCCATTTGCTGGAATGCACCCCCGTTTCTCATGATTCACCTTGCGCCTTGGGCTGTGTTCTCTGAGCTCTCCAGGTTGCTTTCTGTCATGCCCATGTCCTCACTGCTATTGGCAGGTCTCTAAATTTTAAATAATCTTACATGCTCTCATTAGCATCTCTCCAGTAGTCTGCTTACTTCCCATTTAAGATCAATACAGAAGAAATCAATGACACAAACACCAGTTCCCTCAGGCACTTCTCTCTAGACTGTAATGCATTGCTGTCATCTCCTCTGCATCTGGTCTGTTATCTGTCTTTCTCTCTTTATAGCAGTGGTTTTATCTGAGAGATTCTCCCCCTCTACTCCGCTCTCGTGAGCCCCCACCTGGAGCACTGTGTTCAGCTCTGGGGCCCCCAACATAAGAAGGGCATGGACCCATTGGAGCGAGTCCAGAGGAGGGCCATGGAGATGATCAGTCTGCAGGAGCACCTCTCCTGTGAAGACAGGCTGAGAGAGCTGGGGTTGCTCAGCCTGGAGAAGAGAAGGCTCCAGGGAGACCTTATAGCAGCCTTCCAGTACCTGAAGGGGGCCTATGAGAAAGCTGGAGAAGGACATTTTACAAGGGAGCATAGTGACAAGACAAGGGGTAATGGCTACAAACTGAAAGAGGGTAGATTAGATTAGATTAGATTAGATTAGATTAGATTAGATTAGATTAGATTAGATTAGATTAGATTAGATTAGACTGAAAGAGGGTAGATTAGATTAGATTAGATTAGATTAGATTAGATTAGATTAGATTAGATTAGATATAAGGAAGAAGCTCTTTACTATGAGGGTGGTGAGGCACTGGAACAGGTTGCCCAGAGAAGTTGTGGATGGCCTCTCCCTGGAAGTGTTCAAGGCCAGGTTGGATGGGGCTTTGAGCAACCTGGTGTAGAGGAAGGTGTCTCTGCCCATGGCAGAGGGGTGGAACCAGATGATCTTTAAGGTCCCTTCCAACCCAAGCCATTCTATGATTCCTGGAGAAACTGTACTTGGAAGAGTGATCCTGAAAATCTAAAGACGTATTAGTTATGCTGTTTTATGTTTTGCTGTATGAAACATTAAATACTGGTTCAATAATAACAAAAGTGGTAGACTTCAGATGGACTACTCAGGCAAGCCCATGGACTCATAGAGCACTAGGGCTCTGGCCTTGTTGAAACCACAGCAAAAGCCTCACTCTAGATGAAACTGTGCCCTGAGATCCTGAGCCCTGCAGGGTAACTGGCTTTGGAAGCGGGGCATACAAGTGATGTGTACCCATTGCGTGGGTACTAACCTGTTTCAGATAAGCAGGTGCTTGGCAACTGCCTCCAGCAGGGCACTTGCTCTGCGTGACAATCCCCTCTCCTTAATCGGTACCAGCAAGGTGATCTTCCCTTGTTCTCCTTACTGTCAGACTACCTCCCAGAGCAGGGAGGTTTGCCCAGCACATTTCCTCAGGACGGACTCTGCCCCCTTGGAGGAAACGTCCTACCTCCCTTTGCCCTCCCCAGCCCCATGTGCCCACCCAGAGCCCCCTCCCCACCAGCAGCTGAGGAAGGGCAGCAGCAGGGAGGTTTCTGGAGCTCGTCCCTCTCGCCTCCCTTCTCCCTGACAGAGCCAGCAGGCTGCAGCTCCAGCTTGGAATTCCCCTATCAGGGAAGAAAAATCCCCTCTGATTGCAGAAACCCAAATCACCCACAGAGGTGGATGGGTGATGGAGTCCAAGTGTCGCTGCTCTGACATGTCACCTCACGCAAAAAATCGCGTGCGTCGAAGTACCTCAGCGTGGGGCTCCCAGCCAGCAGGAGCTCCAAGGCGGAGGGGAACATTTTGGCAGATTCAGGACATGGACATACCCAGTAGCCCTTGGGGCACCCAGCTTTTACAGCACCTATGCTTAGGCCCAGAAACAACATAAAGGTAATACAGGAGATATACTAGCAGTGGTACTGTAATATAACCTGGAAAATATTGGAGCTAGTCTGCTCTGGGGAGCATCTGCTGAGCCTGGAAAACCAGTATGGGGAGTCTGAGCAGTAAACAGACGACTGTCATAGCCCTCGTGTTTGGGAGTCCTGCGCAACCCCCGCTAACCCTGAGTGTGTCTGGAAAATCCACCAAAATGCTTTGGAGACTTTTCACTTGCACAGGAATGGGGAAGGCAGATAAGCCTGGCTTGACCAAACTAGTGGAAGAAGGGAGGAGAGATTATGGTAAGAGAAAAGGCAGGGTGAGGGAGGGTTGGGCAAAGGACGAGATGGTGAAGGCAGAGTATTTCAGGCAGAGTAGGAATGAGTGAGCCAGAGGGAGTGACAGGAGCAATGTGGCCAGAGCTATTAACCAGAAGGACAAACTGAACAGCTTTTCTAGCAGTCCAGAAGCAGAGAGGAGATGTGTTTGGGAAGTCAGGCAGAAGCCTGAACAAAGTTTAGTTTATTTAGCAGAAAAGTCAGATTATTCTCTGCATTTGTAGGAAGACCTGATAGCTGCACTTGGAGACAGCCTTCACATCTAAGCAAACAAGAGGGCCAAGAAGGCACCAGCATTATAAGCCTTTCTCACCGAGACTGGAAGAACTGATGCCCTCGGCCATGTTCAAGGAAGCAGAGGAGACGAGAGCCTTAGGAAGGGAGAAAAGAAGTTCAGCCCTGGCTGAGTGAATGTCAAAGATGGGAGAGGGAAGCAGGAAGAGGTAGAGCCTACCAGAAAAAGATGCAACGTAAAAGCCACGTCTGTGGCCGGGAAGAAGTTACTGCCAGGAACCAAGCTCTGTGAGCTGCCATCCCTAAGATGGCCTCAGGCTGTTCCCAGAGATGGAGGTGGGAAAAGGAAGGGAGCAAAGGTGGAGACCTGAGCACGCCTCACGAAGAGCAGTAGAAAATAAAGGGACAACCAGAAGCAGGGAAAGAAGCTAAGGAGCAGGGCTTGCAGCAGGTCAGGGAGGGCAGCTTTCCAAGCAGGAGCAATGGCCTGAAAGAAGAGAAAATTTCAGAGACCTGAGATTTGGCTCAGAAAAGGAAGCTAAAATCTTCAGTTAAAAAACACTTTCCGTGATCAAAACCAATGCAACAGTGACTAAGGTGGGGGCTGGAGGGAAGAAACATGAAATAACTGTGTCTCTTTTTATCCTTAACACCAGGAGAAAAGCACCCGGGGACCTCATGGTGTTTTGGCAATGGGAGTGCCCGTCTGCTGCGGCCCCAGAAGGGTCGCAGGCCCGAAGAAGGGGTGCCGGCCACCTCGGGGCCTGCGATGGAGCCCAAAACGGGAACAGCATGGGTCTGAAAATGAAACTTCTGCTCCTTGTGAAGGTAAGCACCAACACCCACGCAGAACCGGCAAGCACCAAAAGCAAAGTGCTCTCTCACAGTAATTGTAAATGTTCTTTGGTTAACGTCTGCCATAAAAAATTAAATACAAGAAAACAATTTACCAAGCAAAAGAAAGCATTTAGTATTTTGGAAAGCTTTCTGTCTGCACAGATTTTTTTCATCTCTTGCACCACAAAGAACAGCGAACACTTTTTAAGTCACTGACAATTAGTCTGACATGTCCTCAGAGCTTCAGAGCTTTCCTCTCGAAGAGAAAGTCTTATCTCTTTTTCCTGTAACATGACATATTTATTTTCAACCCTATATACACAAAAAAGGTACGTAGAATAAAATTAATCAGAAGCATGTTAAACTAAAATACCACCAAAGTAATATAATATTTTGAAGGAGAGAAAAATGTTTATCACCATAAATCAAAAATACCTTGACAGCATCCTTTTATTTTAGAAGTGAGAAGAAAATTGGATTTAGGCTCAGCTCTTGCAGAGAGCTCTTAAATTTCTTTATTGAAGCAAAAGTCATATTCAGTCAACACAGGTTTTCCTGATTAAGCTCAGCAGGGTCAAATGCGATATTAACTAAATAATCACAAAAATACTTGTTTAAGCCAGGGAGCCGTAAGACCCAAGACTGAGCACAACCAAGACAGAGGCAACTTCTCTCCCACAGAAAATGAGAGTAGTTGACAAAAGGGAACTTTTTGCAATTTAAAATAACTGTTTTCTTCATGGACACACATTCATGGCTGTATTTAAAACTTTCAGTTTGGGGAAAACCAGTTCACCTCTTTGGCTTAAGATCCTGATCCAAACTCTTCTGTGGTGGAAGACCCTGGCTCTTGACTGGATTCATGCCTGCTTAATTTGGGTACAAATTTACCAGTTGAGTATTCATTTTGACCTTATGTGTTTTATTGCAGAGATTTGGAAGATGTTTTCATTCATAATCTTTTTTTTTTTTTCCAGAGATCATAACTGCTTCTACTGACAAGCGGCTGTTTAGTGTGTCCTTTTACTTAGCTAGCTTTGTGGGATCTGCAGTTCCACAGCCACTTCCAGGTGCCGACAATGACTATGGTTACTGAGGAAGTTCATTAAAATACCATGGATCTAGCCAGAATATATGGGGTTGCTTATTTTTTATTATATGCATAGTCCATATACAGGAGTATTTTCAGAGCATTAGATGATGTGCTTTATTATTAACAGCTAGGTTTGAAGATGATACACTATTTTCTCTCAAAAAGAAAACTCGGCTAACGCCACTGCTGTTTCCTTAGCACCCTTTGAAAACTGGTTCTGTCCTAACTCTCTGGAAATCGTCTTGGTTTTTTATTTTAAAAGAACAACCAGCAACAAAACTCAAATAATGACAATTCTCCAGTTTTTGGCAACCAAAAAGCACAAAAGAAGTCCCATTTGGAGTGAAAACATTCAAGAAAGAAAGGAAAATGCTGAAGAGAGCTGACTAGGAAGAAGGAACTAAAAAAGATAGAATTCCTTTAGTCCAAAACCCACCAAGTTTTGATAAAAAAAATCAAGAAGGTCCCCATTTTCGACACAGGGTGTGTTTATCCAGGCTTGCCACAATTACTATTGACATGAACTAGCCAAACCATGCTTCACCACTGTGAAAATTTATTTAAACAGAAATGAGTTTCAACGAGAAATCTGTGCTTATGTGCTCATTTTCACAAGTAAGTACTCTATTTCCATTATAATAGGATCATTTTATTCTTGCTACAGCTCTATGGATTTTAATAGATCTAACTCTAAAATAGATTAAAGTTCATAATTTGTGTTGTGCAGAAAACCATGAGACTAGGTTCTGTATATTTTTGTGAGGTAATTAAGTGGCCTGATTTCCATTAATAAAGAAAGTGCCCTAGTTCCCATTAACGCCATTGAAGCCATTCATTAAGATGAGTAAAGTTAGAGAGTTCCTAAATCTTGGCCCATCGTCTTTGAAGAAAACACAGAGCTGAAGCCAAGGAGATGTTCGGAGAAAATTTAAAATGCACAGTGAGGCCCTAATTCTCCGCTGCTGCATGTCTCCTGTGGTCATGTACAGCTGGGCACAGTCCTCATAAAATACTACCAGGCAAGAATTTTGCACATGTGTAGAAAACCAGGACCTGGCTTTTGCAAAACATGTACGCTGAGTATCAGGCAAAATGCTGCAGCTACCAACACCCTTCGGCACAATGACTTTAAAACGTTAGCAGGCGATTACTGTTTCCATTTTACTGATAGGGGACTACAACAGAGAGACAAAGCAAGCTAGGCTAGACGGAAGTGCCCAGGAAAATTAATAAAGTTAATTTTTAAAGTGGATTAGTTAAACCACAAACAATTCTGTGTAGACACCCATTCAAAACCAAAGCTGCTTTTATTCTATTCAGTGTTATTTTATTCTGAAAGTGAATTAATTTAAATCAAATTGCAGCCAGTTCTGTTGTGAATAAGAGCATGCAAATTGAGGTTCAATACAGTTCACAGGCAATTTTAATTTACACCTTTTGTTAATTTAATTAATTGTCCTGAGTGCCTGAGCTCACATAGGAAGCATGCCAAGGTGCAAAGAGTTAAGGATGAGGCCCTTCAACTGCAGGGTTTGCCCTCTCCAGCAGCCCTTCCTTGGGGTGCTCCTCAACCACCCTCCTTATCACCAGGCGGCACAGCCCCGGGTCCTTGATCCTGTGGGAGCCAGAGGAGGTATTCCTGTCTTTCCCTGCCACCTACCAAGTAGTGACAGCTCTCAGGGAGAGCATTTCATGCATTTAATGGGAGGACTGGACAAACACGCAGCACCTATTGACCAGGGGCCAGGAGGAAGCACTCGACCCAGGAGGGTGCAGTCATTGACCTCTGTAGGCACCGAAAACAGGGAACTAGTGTGACACATCACAGGGGACACAGAGTCATGTTTTCATGGGCAGCCTAAAGACCCAATAGTCAGCTTCACTACTTCACCAAGATCAGATTTGCGGAGGTGTAACTCAATGATAAACGTTAAAAAATGTCACTGAGAAAGATCTATAATGGGTATATATCTGCATCTTCCTTCTTTCCTATTTTTTTTTTAAATCATATTCAGCTTGAAATTGTAGTTTCTTACAGCAAGTCTCTGTATAATTTTTATACTTCCCAAAACTGAAGTATGCTGAAGCGATTTACTGGTGTGATCGCATCCGCCTCAGGGCAGCGCAATTCTGTCAGTATCTCTGTGGTTATTGCGGTACCGCAGCAACCACCTATGGATCACCCTCTACTTTGACCCATTGGCAAGAGTCCTACAGCCCAGCTAATAGCCGCATACTCCTCCACGATGCAAAAATGCGTGGAACGCCATGCATCCACTTCCACCCGTGTGCAGCCACTGTCTAGGCAAAGCCACGTGTTTTAAGGTCTCTCCACCTTTTTTGAGTATTATTTCCTTCAGCTTCCTGTCAATCCTGCCTTGGTATGAATTTATCCAGAAATAACCTTAGCCTTTTAGTTACGATTGCATCAGAGAAAAAAAAAAAAATCAAGATGAGCTTTTCTCTCATTTTTCAGCTTTTCCTGGCAGTTAATGATGAGTCCATCAAGAAAAAAAAAAATACAGCGTCATTGTCCGTAGTCCATGAATGCGGATTGTCTTTCTCTACTGTACTTAGAGCTTCCTAATAGCAGAAAGTAACTTCAGAGTAATGAAACAGTTATCCCTAAGAGGCTGCTTACTGGGTGAGGGAAATGGGCTGCAAAGGTTTGTTTAAGAGGGAGAGGGTAAAGCATAAAAAACAGCTCTAAGATTAAAAGTTTGGGTGCCTTCTGAGTCCAGTAAAGAAACTCGGGACAACCTTGAGTTCCCGTGAGGAGAGCTGCTGGGTACAACTGCAGCTCTTTCAGGAGGCCACGCTCATTTTTAAAATGTTCTTTAGAACTCCTAACTATTTAATCCTAAACGTCTCGCAGCTACGTAAAAGGGGCAACCCTGAAACCTCGGGGAAAAGGCAGATTTATTTTCGGGG